TAAGTTTAAGTTGTTGGAAAAGAGGTATCAGACACAAACACAGAATGACACATGTACAGTAAATATTACTGTACCCAGCATTACTTGGAAAGCGTGGTTTCTGTTAGTCATGGGTGTTTAGGATCCTCAGGAGAGCTTTACTCAATGTCTGAGGAAAAGTTCACAGACATACGGGGTCTGTTCTCCGAGGGTGGTGCAGTATGAGTGAGAGGTTCCTCAGCAGCTTACTATCTGTGTGTGTGTGTGCGACTTCAAAGCCTGTCTGCCCAGTCAGAGCTTGTTGGACAGTAAATGAAACACAGTCTGAGGCAGACACACACACTGTGTCCTCCTCCCCATGCACACACACACACCGCCCTCACTTGCTTTTTAGTGACTGCAGCTTGTTAGTAGTACAGCAGGAGAAGCCAGATGAAGCTAGCCCACATACCAGGTGCACGCTGCTCTCTGTCTGTCTGTCCTCTCCTTCCTTATCGCATCCTGTTCCAGCTTTTTGACAAGGCTTTTAGAACAAGTTTTTCCTTTAATGTAACTTGACGGTTCCTTTTTGTGTCACATTTGCAAAACTTTTTGCTGAACTTTTCTCAGTTCACTTTTTTCTGTACATGTCGCCAAGTTTATCCATTTTCTCTTTTTGCTCTCAGTCTCTCTCCTTTTCCTTCCTGTATCTCATTTTTCCAGATTCCTGCGAATTGCTGCTCTAAAATCCATCAGCTGTAGAATCTACTGTGTAATTTGATATTTACAAAGCAATAACTGGGCTTTAAAATCACAGTAGAGCTGAAACAATTAGCTGATCAATCAAAGAGGTGACAGAAAATGTTCAGAAAATGTTCAGCATTTTCTAGTTTCAGCTTCTAAAAGTTGTGAATTCCTGCTTTTCTTCATCTCCTGTCATCGTAAGCTTAGTATCTGTGGATTTTAGGCTACATTCACAGTACAAGCAAAACTGATTTTCCCCAATCAGATCTTGGCCACTCTCATATGTGGTCCTAAGTCCGAGACATAGCCGATCACTGGCCATGCAGCTGCTGTGGAATTAATGTGTGTTTTTCCAGAACATCCATGGTTTTTCCATGTCATCCTTCACTGCACAGGTGCAGATGACTCACTGTTCAATGTTACAACGCTCCGTTGAAACTTCAGAAGGCTGCTGTACCCCTGTTGGGCACTGCCCAGCGTTCTGATGGTCCATAATTCAGAGCCCCCAATAGTCCAAAATATGTCCCATCGGACCTAAAGCCCGTCCGATCCAGAAAACAAACACCCATTGATCCAAAGCACCCTTTATCTGACACCAAACAGAAACACATGGCTAATTATAATGTGTTATGACATTACCCGACCTGGCCAATATGGCGAAGGCATGACCTGATGTACTGTGCCTCTGATTGGCTAGTATTTGCTCTTGTGTTTCTTCGTCTTCTCACCCTCATCCTCAACATATTTTGTCATCCAACCTCTTAAGAAGATCATTCAGGAGATGAAGGTGTACCTCTATTTCATTATGTCATTCTTTTGTTTTGTTTTATCACCAAATGCCTTTCACGCAGCTGTGAGGCTTTGTGTTGTTGTATCAACATGCATGTGTGTGGTTGCGTGTGACGCGTTTCAGGGCAGAGATCCGTTTACACTGGTGTCAGATATGGGTCACTTCAAACATGAATGGAAAAATTTGGAATTGAACATCAAGCCCTGTCATGTCAATGTAGCCTCAGACTGTTGGTGGACAAAGGCAGGAAATGTCGCCTTTTTTCTACTAGTTTTGACTTCAAATGGTACATTTAGTCATAGCACCACCTGCGTTTTGCATACGTGTGGCACCCAGTGATCTCCTGTCTCGTCTGACCCAGCTGAACGTACAGATGAACGGAGGGGGGTTGAGTGCGGTCGATCCTCAATGAGTTGGCTGTAGAAGCAGAGAGAGATGGAGGCAAAGTAAACAACAGATGGCTGAAGCATGTTGCTGTTCTTCGCAGCAGCAGACGCTGCGCCAGCCCACCACCAGCCTCTTGAGAGGTTACTACGCAACAGTGACCGTGACGACACAGGGTCAGATGTCAAGTGCCTCCTTGATGACAGCCCCAAAATACCAGATTGTCATCCACATGCTGTGCCAGACTGAGCCAGCTGAGACACACACACTGAGAGTTTGTACAGTGTTAAATAGTGTTTTCTTTGGCTGAAGTTTGGCAGCGAGGACTCTGGAATCTTCCACGCAGCGTCCACCCTTAACCCACCTGCCAGCCGTGATGACACACACTGAGGCAGCTGTATGTGTGTGTGTGTGTGTGTGTATGTCCGAGCATTGAACCCTTTCATGCTGAGGAGTGAACTGAGTGGTGGCACACATTGGCTGCCAGCTGCCATGACCTCATTCACAGCGAGAGAGACAGAAAGAGAAAGACAGAGAATGGGAAAATACGAGCGGCCAAAATGAGACGAGGTGTGTGTGTGGAGGGCATAGAGATTTCACACAGAATTACACCATGACCTCACTCTGTGGTGCGGCGTCTGACTGGTTTGGTGGGAATATTTGTGCTGGCATCATCAGTCTGTGGTTAAAAATAAAAACAGTGTACAAATTGTCACATTAACTTTAGTGCAGTTTACATTCAGAGAAACACAAACAGTGGCCTTGCTGAAAATTGTACTTTCTGAAGTGTATTTTCAACTCAATATTATTGACTTTACAGGCTTAAGTAATTGGTTCATGTATAAATTAAGACTTTAGACTGACCAGAGATCCACCAACAAAGCATTAACCTGGATTTCCCATGATAGTACTGTACTGTCAACAGAGGAACAAGGTTTAACCTCTTTTTTTCCCCCTGTAATTCAGTGCAGTGTTGACACGTAAATAAGCATCGCCCCTATCGAGGTGCGAGACAGACACTCTTACCAGAAGATGCGTCAGCTCAGCGTACACATAAAAATAAACGGGTGCTTTGCTGCTTGTTGCGGGCGAGATAAAGACATGCAGCAGATACGTGAGGCACACAGAGAGTTGTGTCATCCACTTCCCTGTCTGCCCGAGGTGTCACTGACTCTTTTCCTGTGAACAGGAAGCACCAGCTGCTGTTCCTGGAAGAGATAACTACGTCAGTTTAACCACACAGAGCTGTCTGTGCATATGTGACTGAGATCATCTTGCTTTTCTATGCTGTATGACGGTGTTCAAGACGGATGAATTAACAGTAAATATGTGAACAAATTCATTCTCACTTTATTTTTTCTATTCGTAAAACCGACTTTACGACAGGAAAGTAAAAACAATTGAGGTCAAATTTGTATATTGTATCTATGCAGTTCAATTTACATTTATGAGATTATAATCTGTTCTTTTTAACACAGTGTCACCTATTCTCCAAATAAACCAAAACTTGAGAAACTAAACTGAAAGTGAATAAAAACTGAACTAAAACTGTGTCGCCCACACTGGAAACTAAGAACATTACACTGAAAATGACAAAAGTGGAAATAACATTCTCAACATGAAACCAGAATATCAGCAGTGGTTATTGCTCACTGGTATCTGGGTTCATTGGCTACACACACACACACGTAGATGACAGGACATAAACTCCCTGCTGCTGTTACATTTTACAACATGAATCATATGCTGTACTATATGATGTGGGAACGTTTACATGCACACTAATATTCCTCTATAACTCCAAATATGATAGAATTCTGAATTTGATGCGGGTCGTGCATCGCATACTCTACATAAGTTAGGCCTTATTCTGAATGTAGCACTTTCTGATTGAGACATGATAAGCCAGCATTATTTGGGTTTTAGGAACATTCTTTGGACGTGTATACAGCGCATTCAGAATATATGTCATGCTCTCTGGAATCACTCTTTGATTTTTCCACTCCGACAGCTTGTTGGACCATCACAAAGGGGCAGGGCTTAGTGAAAGGTTAATTGGGGAATTTTACTGCAGTTTGTGACACACCTCTTCTTGCCTGTTTACAGTCAGCTCTGTGTTATACACAAACCAACTCGCCAACAGTTTGTAAGTCTGTTGGTTAGAGATGCACGCCCGAAAGAAAAGCCCTGGTTAGAAGGAGAAACACACCTCCTTTTAAACATTATAAAGGACTTCTCTGTCAACAGCTTCTTAGATATGCACTGACATCGTAACACCAACCCTATCAAGAAGGTGGTTATAGAAATGAAAAGGGAGGATTTGTCCACAGCAAGTCACAGCAGTTTCACTTTTCCATAGTTTGACGTGACAAAAAAACGACATGTAAGGGCATGTTAATAGGTGTATGCACGGATGCGTGTTAACAGGAACACTAGTGAAATATTCACTTTCAGTATCCATGTAAACAGCTTAGTAGGAATATTGTCTTCTTTTTTGAAATAAGCGCAAAAACTGGAATATTCCATGCATGTAAACATAGTCAGTGTGAGGGTAAGCATAAGTCAGGCTGACCTTTTCAACTTTGTTTCTCTGCGGAATGGAGATAAATTATTACCTGGTGTTTTTGTTTTCCCCCTGTTGTGTTGATGCCTTTGCAGATTCAGGCAATACTCATTAAAATTACATTACATAAATGAGAGCGTGCCAGGTTCAAATCTCAGTAATGTTGCACAACTGGGAAATATTTGCATGCATGTATTGGTATTGGTGTATGACTCTGTGAGGAGGATACAGGATGAGTCAGAGGAAATGTGTGTGTGTGTGTATATGTGCCAGTGTGTGTGTGTGTGTGTGTGTGTGTGTGTGTGTGTGCGTGCGCTTGTTCATCCTGTTCATTGTTTATTCAAAACAAAGCCACACAAAATCTGTGAAGCAAAGAGTTCGCCAACATTTGCCGCTGGCGTAATTTTCTTTTCTCTTTCAATCATCATCTCTCTTTTTAGCCCTTGTTTGTTTTCAGGCTCATTGCTCAGACTTTAGTTTGCTGAAACTAGTTATGGTTAGTAATTAGCAGTTAATTTCTTCTTTTTTTAATGGTTCTTTCTCTTGTTCTTCTCTTAACAGGAGGGGCAGCAGCTCTGTCTTTCTGAAGACATTTGTGGCATGAAACTGAATCGCACACATCTTTCATTTATCACCTCCACCTCCTTCATCTCCCTCCACCACTCTTCAGTTAGGAGCTCTCACCTCAGCTCCACCGCATTGATGAGGTAACGTCAAGCTCTACGCAGCGCAGCACCCACCTTTCCTTCCCCTCCTTCTGTGAGCCTTTCCATCACAGCCATGGGGCAGAAGATCTCTGGCGGCATCAAATCGGTAGATGGTCGCGGGGAAAGCGGTGGCTCCCCGTCCTACCGGCCTTCAGCGCATCGCCGTCAGCACCCAGAATTGAGGGGCCCAGATTTCGCAAAACCACCACGGCTAGATCTCCTATTGGACATGCCATGTGCTGGACTGGAGACCCAGCTCCGTCACGCGTGGAACCCTGACGACCGCTCGCTCAACATCTTCATAAAAGACGATGATAAACTGACCTTTCACCGCCACCCGGTCGCTCAGAGCACGGACTGCATCCGGGGGCGGGTTGGATACACAAGGGGTCTGCATGTGTGGAGGATCCACTGGCCCTCCCGACAGAGGGGCACCCATGCCGTGGTCGGGGTGGCGACCTCAGAGGCTGCTTTACATTCTGTTGGCTACACGGCGCTGGTGGGGTCGGACTGTGAATCCTGGGGCTGGGATCTGGGACGCAACAGGCTCTACCACGACAGTAAGAACAGGGCCCACAGCTCGCTGCCCACTTACCCTTCTTTCCTGGAGTCAGACGAGACGTTCAACCTGCCGGACTCTCTGCTAGTGATTCTGGACATGGACGAAGGGACGCTGAGCTTTATGGTGGATGGACAGTATCTAGGAGTTGCATTTAGAGGACTGAAAGGCAAGAAGCTGTATCCTGTTGTCAGCGCGGTGTGGGGACATTGTGAGATAGCCATGAAGTACATCAACGGCTTGGATCGTAAGTACCATATCCTACACTGACAACACATTATGATTAAGTACTGATGAAGAGTGTTTAATGCGGAATTTTTATGACACTATTACAGTAGTTGGTAAGATGGCTGTTAACACAAGAATAGAAAAACAGCACTGTGGTAGCCCAATCGTAACATGTCACCGCACGTCCCAGGCTGTAGTAAGACTTTCAGTTTGTTATGTAACTCTGTAAAGTTGAGATTGTACAGTGACACACTTTCTTTGATATCGAACAGGGTGAAAGTTGGACAGGAAATTCACATGTTCTGCAATATTCAAGAGAGTGATGACACCAGTTTGTCTACTGGAAACGATGAGGCAGTAGTTAAACTGCTCATCATGTGTTGTCATATGAAAGTGTGTGTGGCCTGTGTTTCTCTAGAAATCTTCTCTATGCCACTGCTTTCTCTTTACCTTAACAGCAAATATGTGGAAGAAGTTATTTGTTGTTGTGAATTTGGGTTCTCTGGTTAAGGCAGTATTAAAAAGGTGGAGATAGGAATTTGTTCTCTACCGAACATTAGGGCTGACCTTCGAATCCATTTATGGACATTTAAAACTTCAGAGCTCAGAACGAATTTAATTCGAATCATTCAACATGCATTGGTGTGAACTTGCAGGTTTTAAGAACGTTGCAGAATGATGCATTGCAAGTAGTTGCCTGTTACAACTCGTCTTGCCACACATCTTTGGTGTGAACTGGGCTGTAAATGCAGACCCCTATGACTTTAATCTGTAAATAATTTCTCTTTTTTGGATTCTTCGTTCACCATGGAGGCATGTGAGAAAAACAGTTGTCTTTACAAATTCAAGGTAAAACCGAGTGAGCAACTGATATACAAATGGTCATTTGGGGGGTGAAGTATTCCTTTAAGTATTAATGATGGGTGTTTGACTGACCTCTGTTTTGACTTCATTATAATACTTCTTGAAGTACAGGGCTGACCTCCTGAATGTAGAGTTCATTTTCCGTATGTTGGAGCTTTTCTCAGACTCGTTTCTTCAGATATTACAAAGCAGTTCTTGGGCTAGTTGCCTGAGGAAGAAATAATATAAATTTCTAATGTAGTCTTACAAATGGTACCTGCAGGTATCAACACCTCATTACCATGGTCCTTTTGGCTGTTTCAGTGTTAGTCTTCTGGGTCACTGTCATGGCTAGAAGGGTTTTGTTCAGCACTACATAGTAGCAACACTACATCTTGCATTATAAATGTATCAGGAGGTTGTTGTGTCTGTGTAGAACAGCTGTGTTTCTCGGTGATATGAGAGGGAGATGAGTTCATAAAGAGTAGACTGGATGTGGGGTTGAGGTATTTGAATATGTTTAGTTCCCAGGAGACTCTACATTCTGGTTGACTCCGTCTGTCTATCCACATGTGTGTGTTATGAGAGAAGAGACAGGCTTTTCCTCCCATCGCAGTCTAAACATTAACTCTTTGAACAGCTTGTTAGAAAAGCTCTTAGACACACATCATGGACACCTACACACATGGACACACACCTGCCAGGAAGGGAAAGTGTGTGTTATGAAAACACGCTTATGATCGGACTCTGTCCGTTTCTCTCCCCCTGTGTTTGCAAAGCCCCATGGGTGTTATTTGATATCACAACAGGGTGTGTTTTTGACTGTTACCCGGCAGAAAGTTGAGAAGAGACCCATCTCTCTCTTTGTAGTTTGTTACGTCTGATTTTTTTCTTTGTCCAATCACCCCAGATTACACTTTGAAATGTTTCTTAGGAGTTCTGTGCTCTTAATGGTCACCACAACATCAAGAGCCTGTCTTCTACACCCTTTAAGAGGTCCCAGGCCTTATCCTAGCTTTAAATTGGATGTTTTTGGTCTTAAAACTGCAGATGGCCACCCAGAATATGAATCAGAATGAAACATAAAACAGTGAATTTTAAGACTTGAAATTCTTAACCTCTGGTTTAAGTCCTGCCCGACTGTATGTGTGATGTCTGGTAATCTCCTACACTCAGGCTTAGTTCAAAGTACATACTTTGGCTGTTGAAAGCACCTCTCGCACTCACTTCCCATTTATGGAGCCATCTGCTGGATTTCATGGCGAGTCTGTGTGATGGCCCACCTAGGAGAATATGGAGAATATTGAGTGCGTTCAAAGCCCTCGCCTCTACAAGCGTACATGCTTCATGCTGTGAAATGAGGTTTGACTGTTGAAAATGGGCTCAGCCTAATGCATGGAGGAGAGTGAAGGTTGAAAGGCTCGTCCTGATAGGTGTGTCTTATGGAATAGCAAAAGAGGGAGTAGTGGTGAAAAGGAGGCAAGTGGGGATGTGTGTGAGACAGCGAGAAAGCCAAGGAATTTAAAAATACAGATTTGTGATCAGAGCATAAAATAATGAAAAGGACTAAAAGTCTGTCACACTAGAAAGTAGCTCACCCATTGGTTTGTCGACTCCCATTTTGAAGCCTTTAGTTGGGCATTTTGGCCGTTGCCATTTGAGATATTTTGAGCCAGAGTTGACCATATTTGGATGAGAGGATTGAGGCAGAGGGGCCCCGCTCTTAATTATGTGTAACTTTAGGCCTTAATAAAATTGAAAGGGGTAAGTTCACCCCTGCACAGACCAGAACTCTTTTTTGTACCAGCCTGTATTTCGGCTGTAAAGTTGGGCATTTAAATTTGGGACATATGGGGATTGTCTTGCTCTTGGAGCCAGCCTCAAGTGGCCTTAAAAGGAACTTCGGCATTGGCTTCATTTTTAGCCGCTGAGGTTACAGCTTAGTGGCACAGAACAATTAATTGTTGTGTCTGTGCCAAACACTTATTTCTCGTAGGTTGATGACATAGTGACAACTCACCATACTAGGTGAGCTACTCGTGCTGGTAAGCGAATTACTAGCACGAAAGGAAGCTAGAAACATGCTAGACAGTCATGATAGCCCCATGAGCTTCTTTCCTGGGATTGCACATAATTTCATTCAATAAATAGTTATATTAAAGATGGGAAAAATACTTGTTTACTGTCTGTCAGCAAGCTTGTTAGCTGGGTCACTAATAAGCTTGTTGCTAACAGGTCAGTAAGTTCAAACGCTTTATTCAAAAGATGATGCCTGAATCCATACCTTGGAATTCATCCACTTCACTAAGTTGACATATTCGTCTGGCATCCTGACATGAAACAGGGCTTCCTCAGTTGAAATAAAAAACGATCCAACAAGCACCCTGGGGGGACTCAATTAGCCAGTCAGTGCCATGGCAGGGACTAATGCTGTTGTCCCTTCTGCCTAATATCAGGCAACAAAATGTATTTGTACTATTGACTTCTGTCTCCTAACTGTTGTGGAGCAGTTTATACCTCGACCGAAGAGGTAATATATAAAAAAATAAAAGTGGAAGGTGACACACAACTAATTAAGCTACGATAGCTTCCTCTATTTAGGAGTCTCCTGAACTCATTTCTTTGAAAAGGACAACACTGTTGAGATGGCTTGTTGTTGGTCAACAGTACAAGTTCACCAAATACAAAATTTGACTCAGCCCCCACAAGCGAATCCACTGTCACAGTAGTTTGCTGTTTGACCAAGCTGTAAAACTGCTGTTTCCTGTAAGAAGCCAGTCTAAAAGGGTACATTATTATGCAGCTATGCAACCCAAAACTGAAACAAAATAAATGAAATCATATGCGCGCAGACAGACAAAACAATGCCTGACTTGGGAGACAGGCCGTAGGTAGGGGAAACCCACTTGGACCACCAAACCTGAAACAATGCTTTTGGTTTCACATTCCATTGACACATAACCACATTCGTAGCTGAGAGGTCTTTTTGGGTTGTTAGTGTTCCAGTCGTTGCTCTGAAGCTGAAACAAACACTGCGATGAGAGTAATATCTCCAGGTTCAGAGGTGAAGTAAGTAGCCTCGGGGTGCTCTCTTTGTTGCAGGGTGGGCAAACAGAGTGTGATTACAGCCTGTGTGTGTAGCAGCTTCGTTCAATATCAGTTTTGAATTGAATCAGCTTGTCTGCCCCACAGATGACTTGGATACTGAGAATGAAGTCATAATTGCCCGAGAGTGTGTGAATGGCAGTACAGCTGGATGTGGTCAGATAACAGACGCTGTATCATATAATTGTCTTTTAATGCCGTCTTCTTTGGTAATTGCTCAGAGTATCAAATGTGAAGTGTGTGTGTGCATTTAAATCTCAATGAATGTATCATATAAATCTGTTCTGTGTGTTTATGAGTGTATGGTCGTAAAAAAAATCCTCTCGGTAGCTCGGTAATGACTTTATCTAACAGGCCTTCCCATGAGAAGCGACTATTGGATTGTTTGTGAATTATCGTTGAAAGGGGAAACAACATGACTGCTGGGTATTAAAAAGAGATTTATAGACGTGGCGTCTCCTCGCCACAAACTGTTTGTTTTTCTCATCACTCCGGCTCAGGCCCCGCTGCACCGCCAGCAGTTGATCATCACTTTGCTCCACCTCAGATCATTGCTCCCATTCCTGCAGTAACACAACACACACACACCGGTGAGACCTATAACCAGCAGCACTGCAGGTTTATGGTAGTTTTGGGAAGATCACGCAAAGCAATCAGGGTCAGGGAAGTACGTGTGCTAATGCAAATAAATGCTGAGCAAGGTTCAAACTGCATTATCCTGTAAATGTGATGTAAATTATTCATCCTTCCAGCGCTCTGAGTGAGGACTTTCTCCTCTTCCACTGAGAGGTGAACGGATCCCTGTTTCCCAGATAGTGTATTTTCACTTAATTGTTGCTGAATTACATAAACATGTGTAACTAATTTATTTTGCTACCTTGAAGCATTTTCTCATCTGCTTCTCTCTAATGTGTGTGCATAATATCTCTCTCACACACACACAGCTCTGTATTCTCCCTCATCCTGTCTCTATAATTGTACCAATTAGCAGCGCTTTGATTCACTACAATAGGAGCTGTCTTAGCTTGGGCCCTGATATGTGCCACTTCCTCTCTTTCTCTTTTTCCTCCT